AGTCAGTGTGTGGGGTAGGGGAGCATGTGGGTGCATGTGTGGATGTGTGGGGTATGGGTGGGTGTAGGGTTTGTGGGGGGCTGTGAGTGTGTGGGAAGAAGGTGGCTGGGGAGGGTTGTGGCATGCGTAGAGGAAGAGGGTTTGCCCACAGCCCCCCATGGCTGGCAGAGCCCCTGCCAGCACTCCTCCAAGCCCAGGTTCCACACTCCTGGCCCTGGCGCAGGCCCCGTGTTCCTGCTCACTGCTACTTCCCCCTCCCGGCTGCCACCGCTGCCCTTTCCTGCTGCTTCTCCCCTCAGTAGCTGCTCCAGCACCACATCCCCGCTGCCTGGCCAAGATCGCTAGACGTAGCAGGAGCCGGCCCAGCCCGCACTGCACAGAGCCAGCTGAGAATCGCGGGGGCTGGGCCTGTTCCTGCTGAGTCCTGCAGCTGGGAACCACATGGTGTCGAAGCAGCAGCAGTGGAAAGGGGCGGGGAGGAATGGCAGCAGGCAGGAAAGTGGGGAAATGGCAGCAGCAGGTGGCAAGGGAGTGGCAGCAAGCAGGTGCACGGGCGGAAGCGTGAAGCCCACGCCTGTGTCCTGGGGCCAGGGCCCAGAGCAGGGTGGCAGGCGCTTGGGGAGCGGGCCAGAAGGGGCTCTATTGAGCCAGACTGGCTCCCCACTCTCCCTGCTGGCACAGCCTGGCCTGGCTCCATGAAGCCCCACACTGCTGCTGCCCTGCCCTGGGCCCTGGCCTTGGGACACTGACACAGGTCCCACACTCCCACCCATGCACCTGCTCACTGCCACTCTCTCGCCTCCTGCTGCTGCCATTTCCCTGCTTTCCTGCCTCCCACTGTTCCCCTTGTCATCTCTGACAGGCAGCCAGAGCAGATAAATTTTATTTTTCTAAATTTTTAGGTGCCCCACTGGCTGGATAGAATGGCCTGGCAGGCTGGATCTGGCCCATGGGCTGTATTTTGCCAACTCCTGATCTAAAGTCTGTCAACAAACATTGGTCCTCAGTCTTGTCCAGCGTAATATTTTTTCTGTCTGAGAGACTCATTTTCCAGCAAAATATGAAAGCTCTTCTCAGCTCAAGGCTTTCAAGTTTGGTTAATACCATTTGGGTTCATCATCCAGTTCAGCTCTCTGTGTATCTGGAAGCAATATTTGTATATCACAGGAGGTTTCATGTACAGCACATGAATAAGATCTGTAATGCGGCATAGTTTAGAGGGGTTGTTCTAATTGGGTGTATGTTGGATCTCAGTTGTTATCTAGTTTATTTTATGTCCAGTAAAGAAATGTTTCAAAAGTTCAATTTAGTTAATACGGCTTGTGAATTATTAGTTTGCAATTTACTTAGAGACTGTAATAGATGTAACTTTCTCTGCAGCTCTGCACCAAGGCATTGAAGGATGGCTGGGCAAGGTACAGTAAATTCTTATCCTGAATGCTGCACTTCTCTTCTTAATGATTACAATCAAGAGGAAATATAGGCTGGTGTCTCAGTTTGGCAGAGAGAGAGAGAGACTAGATCTCATGGGGCTTTTCCATCTCAACGTTCTGTGAAGAGATGTCTTTCCTCCCACCTATTTTTTAAGCATATTTCCTCCTCCTGCTATTATATCACATGCCAGTACAGTAAGTGAGTAAATGTACAGCAGAGAAACTTACCTCACTGGCAAGCTGTTGGCTGAAAGCTAACACAGGTAAATCATTTTCCATTGGGTGGGTTTGTGTGTGTGTGTGAAAACAGAATGAGATCTGCTGGTAAAGGGAAAGACGCAGTGAAAAAATGCTGTCCATAAAATCCTGCCTCCTGTTGTGAATTTCAGTTTACAGCTTACTGTAGAAAAAAACAGTTATCACTGCTGTATTAATCTCTGAAAAGCGACCTACATTTCATAACATTGTGTGTCTAGGTTCAAGGTAAAGGTTGGTGCAGATCTGCAGGATGACATTCATAGATGCAGACTCATAAGAGAAATGATTGGTCCTGACAATATATTGGTGAATATAATTTTTAATTACCCTACTACTTTTAAGTAACTTCAAATAGAAAAAGGCTGTCTGTTCAGATAGGGTTTGATTTAATATATGTGATTTCACAGAGTTCTTGGAACATACTTCACCCTCGCCAAGTCCTGAATAATGATGGCTACGAATAGTGTTTTTACACCAAACGAGAATAAATTGCACATAGTACGTATATAGGGACGTCATTTGATTCTGTGCCACAGCTTCTATTAAAGCTTACAGGCATTTTCCCTCAGTAAGAGCTATAGAACTGGGCCCTGAAGGATTGGTTTTGTAAAAAGATTCCAGAGTAGAACTGGTAGGTTGAATTTTTTTCCCCAACATTCAAATACTTCTGGGTGGAAATGGTAAATTTTGGTTTGGAAGTAAGCTTCTAGGGCTGCAGAGTTGTTGTAAATCAAGTGCCTTGTGGCCCTGTTATGCTTTAGAGAGCAATCTTTTTGTCCAGCCTGGTTGTGTTGTGACACAACCTAGTTTCTGGTCCTACTAGCCCATTGTAGTGCCTGGACACAGTGCATTAAGGGAAATTTCTGATTCAGGAACTTGGTTCAGACAGAAAAATAGACTTGATATATATAAACTACAATGTCTGATAGGAATCCAAATCAAATCTGTGTTTCATCAATTGTCTTTTTATGTTTCAACATAAAGTCTAAACTTTCATTGGAAGGCAAAAAATTAGTTGCTGGGGAAAAATAGTCAGATGAAATTTTACATTAAAAAATTATTTCTGTTAGAAAATGTTTAGTCAAAACTTTTCAGGGTGCTTTACTTATACTATATCCTCCTGAGAAACCAAATAAATTTGCCTTCCTGGATCTCTGCACCCAACTGGAATCTGGTACCCGAGCTGTCATGTTTAAAGCTAGCTTGGGTATCTCTATACTGCGCTGCAGTCTGCAGCATAGCTGATACCCACAATGCATAAGAACAGAGTGAGTTTCAGCTGTGATTTTTTTTTCCTTGCTTTTCATCAGTTTATATCAACATTATGATTATTGTAACAGTTTCCTATATAAACAGTCAATAGAGCAATATAGTGAATTGGATTTATAATTGTCCTCAGATGCTGGATGCTAACCAACGATGGGAAGTGAAGGAAGCAATAGAGTGGGTGACTAAATTAGCTGAATTTAAACCATTATGGATTGAGGAGCCAACTTCCCCTGATGATATTCTGGGTCACGCAGCTATTTCTAAGGTAATTTAATGAAGATTTTACAATAACATAGTGACTACATATCAAAACATGCTGATGCTGCTCCATGAAATGTTCAATGTTCAGGTTGAAATAGATGTCAAAAGGCATAAACTACAGTTGAAATGTATTCAATCAAATGTAACTTATACTAGAATGTCGGTTTTCTGGAATAATTAGTGTCATCAATCTGGATAATCAGTTTTTCCAAAAATCAAACACCATAGTTTGAAGTGCTGAAAACTAGAATTACCATGTTGTACAGCAAATGTTAACAAACAAAATAAATAAATGTATGGTATTATAGAACGTTTTAAAATCTTAAAGCACTAGTTAATAAATAGTGCACAGTGTCTCACTGACAGGCAAAACCCAACTGCTGGCTGATGGTTTTATTAATACACAACCTTCTGGTTAATTGACCTTCTGAATAATCAACTCTCTACTGTAATAGTACATTCCTGATGAGTAGTGCTATGATTCTCTTATAATACCCTATAGCAAATTTCACAGGAGAGGTTTTGAAGGGGGAAAGTAATCAAATAGAAGCCTTCTGGCTGTATTACCTGTCTGTGGAGCACTGTATTCTGGGGTTTTTAGAGTAGAGGGATCATGCCACACTGGCTTCTGTAGGCCTGAATTCCAGGTTTCACCTTTTGGCTTAGTGGCAGAATGTCTCATGGCAGTCCTAGTTTACAGTGGTGGTTTTCATGACTGCAGCGACAAAGATGCAGCGTTAGCAGTGAGTCTGTAAAAGAACATGAGATTCCTTTGCTTACGTGAATGAGCAAGGTAGCTAAGATTTGACCTTAAACTTGTGTGTTGTCTCATGGGTCCTTGCTAAACATTACATATATTCTGCAATTAACTGGCTAATCACACAGTACATTTAGACTGGCCACCCATACATAGTAAGTCTCTTTGGTCAGACCCAGAGAGTGATAGTCAATGGAACTGAGTCAACATGGTGCATGGTGACCAGTGATGTCCCCCACAGCTCAGTACTCGGAGCAGTACTCCTTAATATATTCATAAATGATCTGGATTTGGGTGTCAGAAACAGACTGGCTAAGTTCTCAGATGACACCAAATTATGGGGAAGTGTGGTCACACTAGAGGATAGGCTGACAATTCAGGTCAACCTGGACAGGCTCGCAAGGTGGGCGGACCAAAACCTGATGACATTCAACATGGAGATATGCAAGGTGCTCTACCTCAGGAGAAAAAGCCCATATCATATTTATAGGCTCGGCAGTGCTACACTCACTGGCATGACTGAAAGAGACTTGGGGGTCACGATTGACCACAAGATGAATGTGAGCCACCAATGTGATGCTGCAGCCGGCAAAGCAAATAAACTCTGGCTTGCATCTACCGATGCATCTCGAGCAGGGGGGTGACTTCTTGGGTTTTGCTTTCTTTGGCCTTGGTGGGACCGCAAGTGGAGTACTATATCAAATTCTGGGCTCTACAATTTAGAAAGGATGTGGAGAAGCTTGAGAGTGTCCAGACGAGAGCCACGTACATGTTTAGAGGTCAAGAGGACAGGGCTTATGGGGAGAGGCTGAGAGCCGTGGGACTTTTCAGCCTGGAGAAGTAAAGGCTCAGGGGTGACTTGGTGGCAGCCTATAAGTATATAAGGGGTACGCATCAGGAACTGGAATAATGTCTGTTCGCCAAGGGAAGATGAAGTCTAACAGTCACAAACTGCTGGAAGGTGTCATCAGTCAATTTTAGACTGGATATAAGGAAAAACGTCTTTACTGTCTGAGTTTCCAGAGTCTGGAATAGACTCCCCCCAGAAGTAGTGCAGGCACCTACTCTGGATACCTTTAAGAAACGCTTGCATGCTTATCTTGCTGGGGTGATCTGACCCCCAGCTGACTTCCTGCCCTTTGGGCAGGAGGCTGGACCCAGTGATCTCACGAGGTCCTTTCCAGCCTTAATGTGTATGAAATCTATAATTATCACACAATTAACTGGTTAATCACACTATAAATTTAAACCAGCCACATGTGCAAAGTAACCAGCTATAAAGTTAGTGCTTGAAAATGTAACAACTCTGTAGGTGGTTTCTGTCCGCTTTAATTTGTATAGCAGGCATGTTCTGAGAAATGTGAACTGATGTTTCCATGAAGATTTAAGTGTAATATTAACAGAGGATAAGTGCTCATCATATGATACAGTTAACAGCAGAGCCACAGACATCCAATATGCATGTTTCCTTATCACAGCACGTGCCCTTGTCTGTGGTTTTAGTATAGCAAGAGTGATATAAAATGCACTTAAAAACATTCTATCACTTGCATAGAGTAAGTGGCAAACATTACACTGCATTAACTCTTATTCTATCCCACCTCTTTTCTTGCTGTTAAGTAACTGTGCTGAGGAATTACAAAACAGAAATAACTTCTAAATGTATTTTTATTTGCAGGCCTTAGCACCATTAGGAATTGGCGTGGCAACAGGAGAGCAAGTAAGTATAGTTTTAATTTTGCCTTTCTATTGAATGTAGTTATGACAATAAGCTTTGAGGATTTATGCCAACGTTCATTCTCGTTTTTCATTAGGGGTTTGAATAAAGCAGTTGAAAACATCCTTAGATATATTTCACATAGCATAAGTTCAGCTAATGCCTACCAGGAATATCTTCTTTCCAACCATGTATCCTATTTCCCTTCCTCCCACATGCATCTGTATGGAGAGTCAGGAAAGGTTTTGTTTTGAGGTATCTATAATAAATATAACAGCCAGCATTATAAAGCTCTCTCACTGCTCTGTTGAAATAAACGTTATTCCTCATTGCGTTCCTATGAACATAATTAATTTTCTATTGCAGTAGGGGAACTGAGAGATCAAGAGAGGTCATTGGCTTGTGACAGAGAAGAAGCCAGGACTAGAACTTCTGGCCACAACCCTTTTGTCAAGTCCATTTATACCACACTAGGTCCCCTTAACATGTTAGCGAGTTGTAGTTCAGCATCTCATTAAGGATTCTTATGTTGCCTCTGTCATCTGCAGTATTCTCTTGAAAAATAGTCATTGGTGTCTAAATCTTAATAATTGAAAAGTGAAAGGAAGAGGATGTTCATGTTGTTTGAGGCTCACTTTTTAATGTTTGATTGATAAAGTGTCTGAATCAAGGTCCAATCCCGAGGTTCCTAAATAATTGATGGGCACCTTCAGCTCTCACTGACTTTGATCCCATCTCATGCCACCTTGCACAGGTTGACTCAGATGAAGGGTTTGAAAGTTATGGATATAAGGTAGGCAGAATCCAAGATCTCCCACAGGCCTCAGACAAACTTAAATCATGGCCTGTAACCTTTCAAATATAAGATGCCCTTGAATTTAAGATGCACCTAAATTTTCTGATTCTCAATGTAAAAAAAAAAAAGCAAAGATGCTTTTAGAAGGTTCCAACCTCTATGGTAGGCATACACTACATCCCTGTTATAGCAAGCCATCATGGGGCTGGGGAAAAGTGCATTAAAAGAGAGTATTCACTCTTAATACGATTGGTCAATAATAATATGTCATAATAATGATAAAAATCAGTTCCTGCTGTCAGGAAGCGGGGTTGATATAATGAGGTTGTACTATAAGAGCTTTCTATTATTTTCACTCCAGTTCAAGGCACAGGCCACTGCCCTCACCCCAGCTCCCTCTCCTGAGAGGTGGTGGCACGGGGTGGTTGGTGGCAGTGCTCCATCCCTGCCTGCCTGCGCATACCCTCTAGGGCAGTGGTGTCCAACCTTTTTATGGTGCAGATCACTTTTTGTAAGTGAAGGGCACACCAGGGCAACCCCAAACGATGAATGGGGGAGGGTCCCTCCAGGCAGGGTCCCCCCACTGCCTTCCCCATTCTCAGCCAATATGTGCAGGACCTGGGACTTTGCTGGAAGTGGCAGGGATCCCAGTCTCTGCTTCCCAGTGGATCCAAGGACCTGTGTGGCAGGGGCTGGGG